AGTTCCAACTCATAGCACCCTACACGACACAGCAGAACTGCCCCATAGGGTTTCCAAGGAACAGCTGGTGGATTTGAATTGCCAACCTTTTCGTTAGCAGTCATAGCTCTTAACCACTGTGCCACCAGGGCTCCAGTTCCTTCATAATACTTTGATTAGGAGAAATCCACTCATCTGTTTACTTGTACACTATTGCCTGCCCATAGCAGAACATAAGCTTCCTGAGGGCTGGGACCTTGTTGCTCTAGTTTATTGCATCCCCAACACATCTGTGCCTGTCTGGCACACAATAGGCACTCAATAAATACTTGTGGAATAAACAAATGAATCCTGACAACTCTATGGAGTATATGCCACTGTTAACTGCATCTAAGGAAACTGAGGCTCAGAGGTGAACTAACTTCACAGTCCCATAGTTAGTCGGTGATGGAGCATATACTCAAACCCAAGCAGGCAGATTCCAGAACATCCCATGCTGAGTTCTGATGTCCACTCCCAGCTCCAACCCTGTGATTTTCATGCAAGTAAGGATGCTCTCGGCCTTTATGTCTGAGAGGAGTGAGGGAATGTGGTTCTCCCAGGCCCTGCTACCAACCCTCTGATTCAGTCACCCAGACAGAGAAGGAAGGCCTTTTGCTTGTTTTCATTCTCTTTCTCCAGCAGGAGTGCAGAGGTTTGGACCCCTGTCGAGGCTGAGGCCAGGCTGACAGGGATTAGAGGAAACAGCTGGCTCGAGCCGGTGCCCTGCGGGAGCTCACATTCCCGGGACTCAAGGAGGGAGCAGCTCCCCACAGCCCAGTCACATTCCAGCTAGGTCATTTTTCTGAGCCCAGATGTTTGCTAATGAGCTGGGGAGAGGGGCTTTCAGCCCTCAGCCCCAGCTCTGGGCCCCACATTACCTCGGCCCCAAGAGGCTGGCCCAGGGCCAGTAGGCTCTGGCCTCAGGCCCATGCCCTGTGCCAGCCAGGCCTGTCGGGACAGCTGGAGCACTGCTGCCCACCAGGTGCATCTCTGCGAGCTTGGAGACTCTGATGTGACAGGCTCTGCCTTTCCTGCTGGGCCCCACCACCTCCAGTCCCCTAGGTACAGCCTGATGGGGAGGGGCTCTCAGGCAGCCAGGAGGGTGTGGCCCGTGGGCAAAGGAGCACAGGCTTTGGAGTTGACAGGTCTGGGTTCAAATCCTGACTTTGTTAGTTACTATCAGTGTGGTCTCCCAAAGGTTACTAAACTTTTTGAAAGTTTGATTTTTTTCACTTGTAAAATGGGAATAATGATAGGATTGCTGTGAGGATTAGATAAGATTGAGCAGGCACGTTGTTGTTGTTGGGTGCCAAAGAGTCAATTCCAACTCACAGCGACCCCATGTGACAGAATAGAACTGCCCCATGGATTTCCTTTGCTGGAGTAGGTTGCCAGGTCTTTTCTCCTGTGGAACCACTGGGTGGATTCAAGCCACCAACCTTCCGGTTAGCAGCCGAGCTCTTAACCAGTGCGCCACCAAGGCTGCTATTGTTGTTGTGTGCCATGGAGTCGATTCCGACTCATAGCAAACCTATAGGACAGAGTAGAACTTCCCCATAGGATTTCCTAGGCTGAAATCTTTATGGGAGCAGATTGCAGGTTTCTCCCTTGGAGTGGCTGGTGGGTTTGAACTGCCAACCTTTTAGTTAGCAGCTGAGAACTTAACCAATGCACCACTAGGGCTAGTGCTTAGCATACGCCTGGCACATAATGGTAGCTGTTGATACTATTAACAGGTCACCTTCCAGACCCCCTGCCAACATTGTAGCCCTCCTGTAGTTACCAGTCTTCAACAGACAGGTGTGACTCAACCCCAAGCCCATGTCCTTGATTAGGCAGTTGGGAATGTTCTAGAACCTCTCTGTTTGAGCGAGTGATGGACTGCACTACCAAGGTCACTGGCTTCTACTCCTAGCTCTGTGTGTGACCTAGCAAGCTCATTAGGCTACACAATTAGCTTCTTGCAGTGCGGGAGTGGGTTCTTAGAAAGTGTAGACACCCACTCCCCACCCTGCCCGGTGTCCACATTGTGAACGGTGGCCAGCTTTGGCTGCAAAACAGTAAATATTTCCTGAGTGCCTACTGTATACAATGCAGCGAGGCTGTCCTCTGTGGGACATGGACGTGATCATTCGACAGCCTTTTGCTGGCATCACTACTTACTTTAGAGTTATTTAACCTCTCTCTAGGCCTCAGTTTTTTCACTTATAAAATGGGGATAACAATATTGTTTACCTCATAGAGTTGTGAGGAATCAAAGTGCTTAGAACAGGACCAAGTGCACAATAGTGTAAGCTATTATAATCGTCATTATAATAATGGTTATCGAAAGACTTATCTGTGCTACATTTGCGGGGAACAATACCACATGTATTACATACCTTGTCTGCCCCCAAGTTAAGCACTGGGAACACTGAAATAAACACATGACCCCTGCCCTCAAGAAGGCACCATCTAATGGAGGAAGGAGGTGTACACAACTATTTGGTTAAGCACTAGGCTGCTAATCGAAAGGTTGGTGGTTTAAACCACCAGAGGCACCTCTGAAGAAAGGCCTGGCAATCTGCTTCTAAATGGTCACAGCAATGAAAATCCTATGGAGCACAGTTCTAAGCTGCAATACATGGGGTCACCATGAGTCTGAATCGACCTGAAGACAATTAATTGGTTTATTCTAGAAGGAAATTAGGATTAACAGAGGTATGTACCATGTATGTGCTCCGTGATCAGGCCTGGAAGAGGGAGAAGTTTATTGCTACCTAAGGGTCTTGGGAAAGCTTTCCAATCTAGTGCTTGAAGAATGCGTTTGCCAAGAGATGAAAGGAGGGGAAGGGAAGCCCAGGCAGAGGGAACAGAACTAGGAGCCAGGAGATATGGAGATGGATGCTGGGTTTGGAAAGAGCAGATAGGTTGGAGTGCACCATGGAGTTATGAGTAGGCCGCTAGGAGCCATCCAGGATGCTCAGCAACCACGTCATCCAGATGAGCAGGGCTGCATCCATCTCGGAGCTTCCAGCCAAGAAAAAGGCACACACAAGGATAACTATGATATAAAATAAAACAAAATCCCTAAGTACCACACCCGTGTCCCACGTGGTGTCCGTTGGCTACCACCTTCCATGAGCAAAGCTATCTTCTCACTCCACTGGGCAAACCGAACAGAGAGTGCACTACCACAACCCTCCCAAGTGCCAACCGCTACTCCTGAGGTGAGGCTGGGCGGAGGTCGAGTGACACGGGTGCAAAGAGCACGGACCTGAACTGGTCCGCCTTTGCCTGCCCGGAAGCTGAGAGGATGGGAGCACCGCAAGACCGCGGAGTGAGGGCAGACTCCTGGTGCCGCGACTCCATGGTTTGGAGAGCTACGCTCTCGAAGCAAGACTGCAATGTGCGGTTCCCACAAAAAGGAACGCCTCCATCCTTATCACCTCAAGGCCTGTCACGACCTGACAGTCCAGTCTCCGGAAAAGTCGGGCGGAGAGAAGTCGAAGCGCAGAGAAACCCGGAGAAAGGTGCTTTAGAAAGCGTTGGTCCGTTCGACTCGCTGCCTTGCCGTGTAAGGCGCTGGCCAGGGCGTCCGTGGCGGCTCCGCCGCGCCGTCGGACCCCGCGGAAGCCCGGCCTGGGACTCGCGGCGGGGCGGAGAGAAGGGCTTGGGGCCCGGGCGCTGGGGTGCGGGCCGGCGCTTCCAGCGGGAGGACGCGCTGGGCCGGCCCAGGGCGGCCGTGGCGCCCCCTCCTGCGCGCCCGGAGGGAGCGACAGTGCGCGCCCGCCCGCTCTTTCAGTTTCGCGTCCCTCCCCTCCGCTGCCCCCGCCCTCACTCCCTATTTGGAGCGTAGACACCCCTGACGTCTGAGTCGCTCAGCTCGCTGCTCCCCCGCACCGCGCGCCCACCCGGGGCCGCAGACGGCGCGTAGCGCAGTCTCGCCTCGCCTCGCGGGGCGCCGCCA